TTAAAAATAATTTGCGTTCTGTTATGACAAATGCTCGTTTAAATAGCCTCATGATGCTTGGAATACATCGTGATAGAGGAAGCAATCTCGACCTTGACAGCGTGGTTGACAGATTTCATGCAAAATTTCTAAAATGTAGAATTTCACTTTCCAGAATGAAATTCTGGAAAATAAATTAGATGGTTAGATTGCATACTCTTTTTTTTCTTGTTTTATTCAAAATGTTTTGGTTGTGAGCTGATTTCAACATTAGAAAACATAGCCTATAGTAGCTCGATGCCTATCAAATAAGTAATAAAAATTCGCCATAATTCGTCAAATATCCGTGGCTTCCAGGGGTCGAACCCCCCTGGACCCCCAACGGGGGCCCTGGGCATCCCCCTGGCCCCAGCCAAGTGGGACTCGATTCGCTTCACTAGCCCCTCCGTCTGGCAGGTCCTGGCGCCATCACTGGCCTCGGCTGACACTATACATCAAAGGCAGTGGCGTAACGCCTATGTGCTCTCGTGTGGCGGTCTGCAGAGCCCCTAACCACATGTTCCTTGATCTAGCACCCCGACCCAAAAGGGATTTGTTGATACATAACAGCATAATGTGTCTCTGACATCGATTGTATAGACTTATCATATTATATCCTTATGCGAATTAAAGGGGCCCTAAATTTTTAAATTTTACGTCTGTGTGTGCCATTTCCGGCCATTTAGAGGTGCCGTAATCATAAATTTTCTTAACTCAGTGCCAACCATGATGGTGCTGAGGTGGTATTGACCTTTTATCAGTGAGTGAAAGTCTCTCTCTGCCCTATTAAACATTTCTGGATTTGCTACTCATATCATATCATTTATTTTGTCGTTTAGAACATTTAGAATGCAATGGAAAACATAATTAAAAAACGAGCACATCTAAAATTCAACAATGGAATTGGCGACCGGAACCAAAAAGGCCTTACTGTACTCTCAGAAAGCCACAGGGCCCAGGCCCCATCGTTACGCCACTGATCAGAGGGCCTGTAAATTAATCTTGCACAGGAGACTGCACCGATTCCTCCTACTCCTGATCTGATCATCCTCCCACCATGGGACCCCATCATCATAGATATTATTAATTGTCCGTATGAAAGTAGGGAAAACGATGAATTCCGAGTGTATTCATTCATTAATAGACGTCTCTTAGTGCACGAAACTTTCTGAAGGAGGACTCCAAGACCACGTCCATGTCCACACTACGTCTAAAATTTGTCTTCTAGCGACAGGCCAAGGAGAAATTACCCTCTCTTCTCATGACCCTGCCCGTCATGGGACCCCATCTGGGTGATAATCTGGGTAAATTTTAGATCCGGCGCCTGAATGATAAGGCAAATTAAAAAAATTGTGATGTTGCCCACACCTGAAGAGAGCTTTCATAAAATTCTCAAAACTAGCTCAAATTATAAATGTTTGTTTTCTGTCTAAATGTCTGCTCAGTGGTAAAGCCCGGGAGTCCATGCAGGGTTGCTGTAAGCTTTGCCAAGGGAGCCATGTCCTACAATTTTTGTTTTTTTCATTAAACTCTAAATATATTTCTGTACATTTTTGCTGTTTTTCATTCTTCCTTCTACAATCTGGTATTCTTGTTTTTAAAAGTCTAATCATCGTTTCAGTACTGTTATGTACATAGAAACATGTCATTCCTGAAATTATCAACCACGCTAGGTTGATAAATTACATATTGTGTTGATATCTATCAGTAATTTAATCTACAAGTGTTTCTATTCATAAAGTTTAACACAGATACGTAAATATGGTTTGTGGTTTAATAACCCAGTTTAGGGTGCATGGTAGATAAGATTTCTTTTGCAGTGAATAGCAACACTCACATTTATGATAAAATACTGTCAAATCATTGGCTCAGGTATGTCAACGCCCACTTTATTGGTTTGTTTTTGTTTCCATCAAATTGACAAACATTCATGTCCGCTGGTTTCTAATAAAATTGTTTTATCTTAATAAAATACGATTTATACATTTTAATGTTTGTGTTGAACCAATAAACTTGAACAATAAAATACATTGGAATGCTTTCAAATAGAAAATGATAACGGGATGGCATTTCTCGACTTTTTACACTCACAGATTTTTCTTATATAACGCTCAAAATTGTTATATATATTAGGTGTTTATATATTTGTGTATGTGTATATGTATATAAATGTTCCCGATAGCTTCTATATTATGGATTTGAAGTAAAAACATCAAAATATGTCAAATACAGGAGGAGATAAGTAGCAGCAATCAAAATTAGCTACTTATGTAACTTGAATTGGCTCAAGTGGTGTACTAGTGTGATATTGATAATTAGCATCAAACCATCAAAATACAAACTATTGTCCATTACATGATGTAGGCCTATCTCAATGTTACAAGGGTCATGTTGTTGTTTAGGTAAAACTGTTAAACTCAACCAAGTCAAAGTTGTGCTTATTAATTTTTTTTAATAAAGCCTGTTTTAATTAACTCCCTTCCACTTCCGTATTATATGTATTGATAGGCATATGTAGGCGATCCAGCCATAACGCATATTACCAAATGTTTAGGTCTATGGTCAGAGTTATTTCTATCGACTGTTAAGTGTAAATATCGAGGTAGGGTTGGTTTAATTTGGTCTACTTTTACTCTTGGATAGGCCTACACAATATTTTGTGGAATATACACCTTGCATTTCTTTCCGCATTAATCCTTATACACCACACCGGTACCGAATGATTGATTGCAAACGACGTACATCATGTACAGACTGATATCGTCAATGTGTCAATCACAGGACGCGCAATAATCACATCGCCTCGTGGGTTTGACGTATATGAATGCCGGAAAGTAGCAGGTCGTTAAATTAGTACACTCCGATCATTCTGTTATAACACATTGTGTGGACTGTTCATAACATCAGAAGGTATAGTACATTTTAACTTTTAGAGTATATATTAGCATTTTGCGTGTATGAAATAATATGCTGATTGAAGTTTATTAGTCAGGTATTCAGTAATCAATTGAACATTTAGAAGAGCATCTTGTGCTCGTATACAGATATCTAAATATAAAAATTGGCTGTACAACGTAATGTGTCGGGGCCTACTCTCATTATTTTATCACGGTGAGGAATTTTATGATAATGATGACAACATTCAAGTATTTTGTCTCTCATTTTTATATGAGTATGTAGTTCTCATCATTCGGTAACATTCATATGTTAAGTAAAATAATCAGTGCATCTGATTATGTTTAATAATAATAACAATGATAATAAAATAAAGTCTCAGAGCGCTAAAGTTTACATCCATCTTCATATCTTCGTGAAACATATTTACGTAATTAGTGCATCTGTTTATATTTACAAAATCAGTGCATCTGTTGGTTTTTGTTATATTTTTTTTTAAATTACACTGATGCACTAATTATGTTCACATAATCAGTACATCTGTTTATGTTCATAGTGCATCTGTTTATAGGCCTATTTTTCAACAATACACTTTTCAGTGATGTTTTTCAACTCAATTTTAAAAGTTAATATTGCCACTCTATCTAATTTTAATACAGGTTTGTTAATTCTTAACCAGAGGCTAAAAGAGTGACAAGACAGACGCACCATCACAGAATCATGGAATTCCCGGACGTCGGATGGAAACGTATGGTTGCTTCTGAGGAAACAAATAATTGTTCACGAAATGTGACACAGAATGTGTTGTGTGATACCGCTGTGGAGAAAAAACAAACACTTGTACAAATGACTGCAGGAGCAGGGAATACGGATATAAAAATCATCTCGAGAGGCGATACCTTCGATAAAGTTGAAGACAGAGATATCTGGGACAAGAAACTTGACTTCGTTCTCTCTGTCATCGGTTATGCAGTTGATCTTGCTAACGTCTGGCGATTTCCGTACTTGTGCTACAGAAATGGAGGGGGCAAGTATCTAACTTGTATATAAAGTACAGTATTTTTAATTTATATTACCCTTACCAGTAGTGATGCGCAGATGACATAATTTTGTTGAATTGCTGGTGATTCGTCTACAATTTCCATTAAAGATCCTATTTTCAATCTAATTCTATCGTGTCCTATAAACTGGTTCTGTAAATAACAACATTATCTATTTTGTTTTGTAGGAGCGTTTCTTATACCGTATGTTTTATTCCTTCTTGTCGGTGGGATGCCTCTCTTGTACATGGAATTGGTGTTGGGTCAGTATCATAGGTGCGGCGCCATCACTGTCTGGAAAATTTGCCCCTCGTTCAAAGGCAAGTGTGACGATTCAGTCCAAGTAGAGCTGTTGTTTTGGTTAAGATACTTGCCTTCCAATCCAAAGGTCATGGGTTTGATTCCTGCCAAAAGCAGGAATTCTCTTCCACGACCAAGAGCTCCACTCCACAAGACTCATAATGATACTTATAGGTTATGTCTTGTTTGTTTTATAACTTCAATTCGCTGTTAGCATATCCTTGGACTCCTGCCTATAAATCTGTCTCTTATACACATCTAGATGTGTATAAGAGACACAAATTATGAAATAAGAAGAAATTATTGAATACAACAACCTGTATTAGTAAAAAAGTACAATGAACCTTCCTGATAGAGGGTACTATTTTCCTTTTTAGGTACTGGCATTGCAGTTGTAATTATTGCGTTCCTTGTAGCTTTGTATTACAACGTTCTCATTGCTTGGTCGGTGTACTATTTGTTTTCATCGTTCACTCTCGATCTACCGTGGCTTAGCTGCGGTCATGAATGGAACTCGCCGTTTTGTTACGATGGGGATAGCAATGGTACGATCACCTTCGTTGACGGTACGAACGTTACCGTTAATTCGACGAACGGCGTATCGCCTGCCGAAGAGTTTTATTTGTAAGTTTCCAGGCTAAAGGGCTATGATTATGGTTATGTTAACGAATATAAGTTTTCCAAATCAAATCAAATATACAATACCCGGTACCTAATTTCCATACAATGAAGTAATTTTAAAAAAAGTATAATTATACAGAAATTGTAACAAATGCATTGAATGGTACAACTCACAGAGCTTTAAGACGTAGCCACTTTTTACAAAAAAATGTTGAAAAAAATGCGACATTTGTTATTACTATGGATTTGATTTCAATTTAGCGTAGGAATTGATTCTGTATTCATTATTATTATGTTCATATTACATTTCTTTTCTTATTCATCCGGTATTTAATGAAATATGCGATTGACATAAATTGAACTTTACATTTGTCGTCAAAATCATGTATGTTTGTTTTATTCAAAGCCGAAAAGTGCTAGGGGTTCAACATAGTTCAGGATTGGAGGATCTAGGCGGTATTAAGTGGGATCTCTGCCTTTGTCTTCTTCTTGTCGTATGTGTTGATTACTTTTCTCTTTGGAAAGGAGTAAAGACATCTGGAAAGGTAAAGAACTTTTAAGATGCAATTGAAACTGTATTTTAACCAAAAAAAATGTAGGCATATGCCTATAGATAAACATAAGCATATTAAATATTAATGTATAGATGAGAAACATTTAGAATTTCCAATCGTTTTGTTTCTTAGGTTGTATGGATTACAGCAACGCTTCCATATGTAGTACTTGGCATCTTGTTCATTCGTGGAGTCACACTACCCGGTGCAGCAAAGGGGATCAAGTTCTACCTCACTCCAGACTTTGCCACTCTCAAGACCTCTCAGGTATAATGTTCTCAATTAAATTGTTTGGTAGCACAGGCAACGGATATTTGATGAATTATGGCGAATTTTTATTACTTATTTGATAGGCATCGAGTTACTATAATATGACATCATGTAGGCTATGCTTTCTAATGTTGAAATCAGCTCAAAACCAAAATATTTTGAATAAAGCAAGAAACAAAGAGTATGCAATGTAACCATCTAATTAAGTGAAATTCTATATTTTGGGAATTTTGCATGAAATCTGTCAACCACGCTTTCATGGTCGAGCAGTGGCGGATTTAGAGGGGGCGTAAGGGGCGTACGTCCCCTCTATTTTTTTTGTAAAAAATTGTTTTGTAAAGCTTATAAGAAAATTACCATGCTAAATAATAAAAATCAATCAAATATCAACTCAAATTAATGAAGGTGCTAAAGGTTTAAGGGAGAATCTTACCTTGCACCCCTACCAGGGCCTCTTTCCTGAGACTCTCACTTAGTTCGGACTTTCACGCCCCCTCTTTCTTACCGGGCTGTATCCGCCTCTGTCGAGGTTGCTTTACCTATCACGATGTATTCCAACCATCATGAGGCTATCAAGATATTTTTAATTAGTCTCATTGAATTATTATTATTATTATTATTATTATTATTATTATTATTATTATTGTGATGAAAAGTTAACACAAACAATATGGTGGGTAAACGAATATTACATGTAATTATTTTTTTTGTGTTTATTTTTTTGTTCCCCGACAAAACCTATCCTATCGTCTTCCCCGACGGGGGAGGGGGGCTATAGCCCCCAGCCCCCTCTGGCGCCACCACCGTAGACGTCACAATATGTATCTTTATATTTAATTATGTATTGATAGCTTATTAGGAAGGTGAGTTAGTGCAGCGGGAGGAATTGAACTTTATAGTGACATGCGGCCCGAATTCGACACTTGGCAATGCCGTACTTTGCTTGTCTCCTTGGATAAGACACTTTGCTCTATTTCCCTCGTTCCTATAGGATGGGTCGTTAAGTCGTTGGTTTTGTGAACAAGCACGTGCGCACTTACAAGAACTCAACAAGGACCATATATATATATTTACATATTTTATATTTATTGTTAGGTTTGGATCGATGCAGCCATTCAGATGTTCTACTCTCTCGGTGCAGGTTTTGGTGTTCATATTGCATTCGCAAGTTACAACCAATTTAGGAATAACTGTTATCGGTAAGAAATCAGCTTACGAGCTAAAATATGACTGAAAATACTTGTCAATAGCAGATTAAAATAATAGTTAAAATGCTTTAAAATGTTCGATTCCAGGTAGGGCTATGTTCCTTTTACCATATCCTTAATGCATTGTCCCAATATTTTCAATTTCAAGTTATGTCTTCATCTTGTTTACGTGGTGACAAGTCCGTTTAGGACCATTACTGTCACAGTTTGTATATTTTTATATCTTTTCATCCAATTATTATTATTTTGTAATTAAAATAATGAATTTGTTTTCAACAAGCCGTTAAACATCGACTGCAGTCAATGTTAGATTGGTTAAATATATTGAAATAAATAGCATGAATTTTTTTTTTCTTTTTTTTTTTTTTGTTCAAGAATAATGCTAACATCGTTTCGTTTTTGAATCTTTGTTACTTTTTTTGCAGGGATGTGCTGCGTACATCCATCGTCAACAGTTTAACAAGTTTCTTTGCTGGTTTTGTTATATTCTCGTTTCTTGGTTACATGTCCGTAACACAGCACAAACCAATCGAAACCGTCGCTACCGATGGTATGTCCATTCATTACCCGGTAGAAATAATATAATAATAATAATCAGTAGCGTTTTTATCTATTTATATAATGCCAAATGAGAATAAACACAAAGTTTCAAGGTATTTATATAGCGCCAAATGAGAATAAACACAAAGCTTCAAGTAAGATCAAGATAATTTCAGATTATGTTTAGGCCTATATAACCAGTACTGAACAAAAACATTACTCAAACAGTACTGTTGCTCAAACAGTACTATATACACACAAATAGCGTCAAGAGATTTACATTTTTACAATATATTTTTTTCCCCTCACAGGTCCAGGCTTAGTGTTCGTTGTGTATCCACAGGCTATCTCTACACTTCCTGGGTCATCAGGATGGGCTATTATTTTCTTCATAATGCTTATAACCCTCGGGCTTGACAGTCAGGTATTAGAAGTATTTTTTGCTAAATATCGAATGTAGCGGTGCTATAGCAGTAACATAAAGGCCATATATGTTAACATTTATGAACTAATTAGCAACATGCATGACGATATGTTATTATTTATGTCATATCCGATCATTTATGTCATTAAACAATGTACCATCTTATTATTTCAGTTTGGTGGTTTCGAAGCGGTATTAACTGGTCTAAGTGATGAGTTTCCACATCTATTTCACAAACGCCGGGAAGTGTTGACTGGTGCTGTGGTTATAACTGTTTTTCTCCTAGCCTTGCCAAACGTCACATACGGTGGAATGTACTTATTGACAATTGAAGATGCCTATATAGGAGGAACATCACTTTTGGTGGCGGTCTTCTTCGAAGCTATAGGTGTCTCCTGGATGTATGGTAAAGGATACAGTATATGTATTTGTATTCAATAAATGAAAGTACATGAACCATAATCTGTGGAATAGTTTTTCCAAAGCCCAATAAGGAAAATAAGTTTTTTAAAACATATATGTATTTCGGACGTTATGTTTACCATTGCAAGTTATAATTATTACAATTATGTAGAGCTGTTCTTGTTTGCAGGAACTCAAAACTTCTGTAATGACATCCAGGATATGTGTGGCATGCGTCCTGGAGTCTGCTGGAAAATTCTATGGAAGTTCATAACACCGACCTTTCTTTTGGTAAGTTGACTCAGAAAAAAAAATCAAAACTGTGTATATGGTTGCTTTATAAATTATGTTGATGGAATTGAAATATAACTGATCTCTCAGCGTTGCCTCTTTTGTTCCAACTCAGATAGGCAACATTTTATTGTATTTTCTTGGCAAAATAATATTGTTACTATTTAAAAAAGGATAGTACAGTATAGTAAATAATGTAGGCTTACTAAAGTATTTAACAAAATAAAAGCATCATTAACATACGTCGAGCACGTAAAATCCTGAAATTTACGTACTCTACAACGCAAGATGAATAAATTATGACTACCAATTGCGGACTCTTGTACCTGTCTCTTATACACATCTATATGTGTATAAGAGACAGCCCCCGTATCCCCTAGAATGGTGTTGTTTCGGCCCAACTATCGCCCCCCCCCCCTTTCGGCCACCCCTTTTGGACATCTCTGGATCCGCCCCTGTTAATTACTGTTCTATGTATCTTTTAGTTCATTGTGATCGTGAGCATAGCACTTTATGCTCCTCTGGAATCCAACTACATGTACAAGTACCCACCTTGGGCGAATAGCATTGGCATGTGTTTTGCTATGACGTCAATCCTCGCAATACCAGTAACGGCCATTTATCAGTTTCTGGCGATTCCCGGTTCGATTAGACAGGTATATATTATTTATAACCATATTAACTTCGAATACATCTCATTGTAATATTTTGTTAACCAAAGGTAGTTTGTATGTTTATATATGTTTAAACTGAAATTTATTCAAATGAATATCTAAACTACTCATGTAGTCAAAGTTTCAAATAGAATAATTTTATGCCAGGCGTGGACAAACATTTCCTTCACATATTTAGCTGAGTTTATTATAACAAAATGTGTGTAAATAAATAATCATTGATACGCCTATGAACATTACCCTATATAAAAAATAACATTGTTTGAAAATCATAATCGCCCAAGAATATTTACGATATTTCAGAGGCTAGCTTTGGTTGTGAGTCCCCGCAAGGAGCATGCGCACATCATTGCTTCTGATGACGTCAAAAGATTCAAGGTATCCATATTAATATGTTATTTATATTTAGTCAGCACTCGATAGCGTAAAAGTGTTAATATTATTACAAATACACATAATATTGCAAAACGTATAGTAAAATTAGTAAGTTTATTTAAAAGATTTAAAGTGATACCAATCGAAGGGAAGAATTCCGGCTAAAATCAGAGGCAAAAATACAGAAACTAAATTTATAATAAATTCAATCAGAGATTAGAAAAAGAATTGCACAACAATAATTTAGATACGTTCTGGGATGATTTTATTCACTATTCTATTGAATACAAACACCATTTATTTCTGGAAGACCTTTCTCATGTAAATTAACAACTTTCAACTATATTCGACAATTATTGCTAAGAATACATTAAGGTTTTTTTTCCTTGGATGTAGGCCTACCGAATTTAGGTCACTGCTTGCCAAGGTATTATGTGTGATGTAAATCTTGATGCTTTTTTAGAAAACTACATCTTTGTATTTGTAATTTTTCTTTTGTGTTTCCATTATATTAGGTGCAGCATTGGTTTGATATCTGATTTATGGATCCACATTAAACGATAGAATGGTTGACCTTTTTCTGGTACAGTACGCCCATGTATGCCTATATGCGAGTTTGATTGTAAACTCCATGGCCAGCAGATCGAAGAGCTAACGTCGATTTAGGCCGGTAGTAGGCCTATTTGTTTACCAAATATTTTCGTGCTCACCAAACCTAACTGGATTGTCACTCCATCACGGTTTCAAACAATTGTCATGCTTATATGACTTGTTCATATCGTACGTCAACCCAAGTAAATTTCCCATTATCCCATAAAACTTTTAGTACAGTAAATTCCAGAATCCATAATGTTAAATTTCTAGCTTCTAATTAAAGACCATGGAGTTTTCCTGGTTCAGTAGCTTTGGTCTCTAATAAGACATCTATCAAATAGAAAGGATAAGTGTTCTTTTGGGGCAGGGGTGGCGCCAGGATTGGGCCCGGGTGTGGGGCCGAGGTCCCCGACGGAGGGAGGCAATGCCCCCGACGAGGGGTCAGATTTCCCCGACGAAAGCAAAGTTGGCGAGGTCGACCTTCGATTAAAAGGTCTCGAAAGTGGTCCAGGGGCGAAGATTTTATAGTCTATTAATATGTAGCAAATACATGTAATTTTTTTTTCTCCCCGACGAATTGTGCTTTTTCTCCCCGACGGGGGTGGGGTGTGCAGCTCTCCCGACGCTGGCGCCACCCCTGTTTTGAGGTTGCCAAAATGTGGTCTTTAATTGGAGGTGGTCTGTAATTGGAGGGGTCTTTAATTAGAAGGACACCTGTATTCAGAAAATATCACTAAATTAAAACGATAGCACCATCTTGCCACACTAAGGTAACGTCAACTTTTAAATTTTAATCTTTTTCGGTGGTTGCCCATTCAGCATATTAATAATTAATATTATGTGCAATTAAATTTTACATCATAGTTTTATCGACCTTAATAATTATCCTTTATTGTTGTTGTGGCTGTTGTATAGCTTTGATCAGTTTTTACATGATAAGTAAATAAGTGGTATTTAATTACTTTTATATGATATCCTTTAATACAGGACTCCCTCTAACTAAAGACCCCTCCAAGTACCACCTTCAGTAAAGACCACTTTTCTGTGGTCCCAAAATAACAAAAGTTTTTTTATGTTTGTTATTCTAATCAGAGACCAAAGCTTCTAAAGACCATGGAAACCCTGATCCCAAAAGTGGTCTTTAATTGGAGGGAGACCTATATAAACCTTATCACTATTACTTTTGCTAATGATTTTAAGTAATTACAGAACGAGTTTGTCTTTTTACATTCAAAATGATGTTATCAAATGAATTAAATCAATCATAGTATAATATAAGGAGAAAAACTTGTTTTATGTTCAAAATGATTTTGTTACCAAATAAAATAAATTAAATCAATCAATCATGGTATAATACAGAGATAAACGATAAACTTTAAACAGACAGACGCGAATCCAGTAGGGGAACGGGGGAGCG